TATTATATTATATTATATTATATTATATTATATTATATTATATTATACATTATATTATATTATATTATTATATTTATTATATTATATTTATTATATTATATTATATTATTATTATATTATATATTATATTATTATATATTACATTATACTATATTAAAGTAGAGTAGAATAGAATAACAGAACAGAATAGAGTAGAGTAAAGCAGAAGAGAAGAGAAGAGTTGGAAGGGAGGTCTTCTAGTCCAGCCCCCTCCTCAAGCAGGAGAGCCTATATCATCTCAGACAAATGGTTGTCCAGTCTCTTCTTAAAAACCTCCAGTGATAAAGCACCAACAACCTCTGGTGGCAAGCTGTCCCACTGGTTAACTGTCCTCGCTGTGAGGAAGCCTCTCCTTAATTCCAGGTTGCTTCTCTCTCGGATTAGATTCCATCTAGTTTTTCTTGTCCAGCCTTCTGGTGCTTTGGAGAAGAGGCTGACCCCACCCCCCTCCTCTTTTTTTTTGTGGCAACCCCTTCGATCGGGAGGCTCAAACTCAAGGCCCATGGGGTGTTTAGCTCTGGCCCATGGGGCTGCCCTGGAAATAGTGAAGGATCGGCCCGCAGTGTCTCTACCAGCGAAAACGGGGCCGAGGGCTGCAGGAAGATCCCCCCCACAACCCCACCTGGGCCACCACAGGTGTCCCCTGGCAAGAGTGACATCAAGCTGGCCACGCCCACCCCAGCTGTGCCCATCTGCCCCGCCCCCCGAGGTCAAAGACAACCCTGATGCGACCCTCCATGAAATCGAGCCCCCAATTCCCCAGCCGGCCTGGCCTTCCGGCTGCGGTGACCGACGGCTTCCTCTTCCTTCTTTGGCCAGATGGATACACGCCCCTGATGATCGCCTCCTGCAGCGGAGGAGGGCTGGAGACGGGCAACAGCGAGGAGGAGGAGGACACCCCGGCGGTCATTTCGGATTTCATCTACCAGGGAGCCAACCTGCACAGCCAGACGGACCGCACGGGAGAGACGGCTCTCCACCTGGCTGCCCGTTACGCGCGCTCGGATGCCGCCAAGCGGCTGCTGGAAGCCAGCGCCAATGCCAACATCCAGGACCACATGGGCAAGACACCCCTCCACGCAGCCGTGTCTGCAGATGCCCAGGGCGTCTTCCAGGTCAGCAGACGCCTCTGCCCCCCTTCTTCCCACCAAGTGGGGGCGGGGTTTTGTTTTTTTGTTTTGTAAATCTTTTATTCTATCTATCTATCTATCTATCTATCTATCTATCTATCTATCTATCCATCCATCCATCCATCTATCTATCTGTCATCTCTATCTCTCTCTATCTATATATCTATATCTATTTATCTATTTCTGTCTATCTATCTATCTATCTATCTATCTATCTATCTATCTATCTATCTATCTATCATCTCTATCTCTATCATAATCTATCCATCCATCTATCATCTATCTCTATCTTTCTATCATCTATATCTCTATCTATCTATCTCTATCTCTACATCTATCTGTCTATATCTATCTATCTATCTATCATCTATCTATCTCTATCTTTCTATCATTTATATCTCTATCTATCTCTACATCTGTCTGTCTGTCTGTCTATCTATCTATCTATCTATCTATCTATCTATCTATCTATCTATCTATCTATCTATCTATCTATCTATCTATCATCTCTATCTCTATCAAGCCATCCATCTACCATCTATCTCTATCTTTCTATCATCTATATCTCTATCTATCTATCTCTATCTCTACATCTATCTGTCTATATCTATCTATCTATCTATCATCTATCTATCTCTATCTTTCTATCATTTATATCTCTATCTATCTCTACATCTGTCTGTCTATCTATCTATCTATCTATCTATCTATCTATCTATCTATCTATCTATCTAAAAGCAAAAAAACCCTCACGCATCATCACAATATCTCCAGAACCGTAAAGCCTACAAACCTGAAATTTGGCACATATGTTTGCCTTGGCTTCTAGGTGCTCACTAAGAAAGGATTTTTCGAAATGGCCATCAGAGCATTTAGAGTATTTCCTATATTATTATTACTATTAACACGCTCTGATTTTAATGAGTTCTACTCCGCCTCCCCACCTGAAAAGAAATCTGTTCCAAATGCAAAACACAAGCAGAGGAGTTTCAGTTTCAATTTTAGTTTCACAGCACCAAGCAGCTTTAGTAGGGAACAGTTGAGCTAAGCCACACCCAGGCTTCTTGCTGTCTCCTTGCTCACACAGCAAATACTCTTTCAGTTTCCAAACAGCCCTCCCCTCTTTCACACACTGACAGGAGGCTAGCCAGATGAATACCGTTGGATGTTGATAGGCAGAGGCAGAATTACGCCCCTCCCTTATTTTCCTCCCAAAAAACTAAGCCTGACCACATAGTTTCGTAGCGAAGCACGGCTATTAAGCTAGTTTTTAATACAAACAATCCATCATCCATTAAACAGTGTGTCAGCTGGGTACAGAGATCTTGTTCAATAACAATTGAAATTTCCAGGAATAATCAGTGTCAATTCTCCTCTCTTAGCTTATTACTGTGATAGATAATATATCTAATTATTATAACAACCCTCAGCTTAGCTTATTTACCTCTATGAACCTAGTCTCTATCTTTCACTAGTCTTCTTTTGTTTCTAACTTTCATATTTCTTCTCTAACCATTGATAAAATGATTCCCATATCCATATAATATTTGCTTCGTTCCTTCTCTTTAATCGCAACTGTTAACCTATTCCTTCCTGCACATTCTAATATTTTCCTAATCACAGTCTCTTCAATAGGAATATCTCCACTTTTGCAATTTTGTGCAAATACAATTCTAGTTGGGGTGCTTTATATCTCAGTCCTTTTTGGCTACCTGCTAACCAAGGTGCTTCTTTCCTCCTCCCCCGGATAGATCCTGATCCGGAACAGGGCCACCGACTTGGATGCCCGCATGCATGATGGGACCACCCCTCTGATTTTGGCTGCCCGCTTGGGGGTGGAAGGCATGCTGGAAGATCTCATCAGCTGCCATGCCGATGTCAATGCTGTGGATGATCTAGGTCAGTGGTGGCTAACCTTTGTGGGCTCCTGTGCCCAAAATTGCGCGTGTGCTCGCGTGCCGGCACCCAGAAGGCAATGCGTGCTACTCCCCCTGCGCATGCGTGTGTGAGTCCCCCGCTGCTCCCTTACCCGCACTGCGCCTCCCAGCTGATTTTCAGGCCGTTTGAGGCCTTTTTTGGCCACCCAGAGGCTCGAGGGAAACCTCTGCAGCCTTTGTAGGCCGAAAAATGGGCCTGTTTTGTCACTTCTGGTATTTCCGGAAATACGGGAAGTGACAAAACGGGACTGGTTTTCGGCCTACAAAGGCTGCAGAGGCTTCCCTCGAGCCTCTGGGAGGCCAAAAATGAGCTGGGAGGCGTGTGCATGCGCAGTGCAGGTAGGTTTGCCTGGGGCTTGCACGGCCATACAAATGGCTCTGCGTGCCACAGGCTCGCCATCACAGATCTAGGTACCCGTGGGCCCCCCAAGCCTCCCCTGATAGGTCAGCCAAAGGGAGATGCGGAACGGCCTGCTTACTGTCTCCCCTCTTCCTTTTCCCCTCCAGGGAAGTCTGCCCTGCACTGGGCCGCAGCTGTGAACAACATGGACGCTGCCCTGGCGCTGCTGAAGAACGGTGCTAACAAGGACATGCAAAACAACAAGGTCAGTGGGATGTCCGGGTTCAAGTCTGGGCTGCGAGATACCCCCTCCCCCCGACTTAATGGAACTGCCATGGCTCAGTTCCTCCCCCTTCTCCCACACGGCCCACAAAGTTTTGGTTGGGATGGGGGACGGGAGTGAAAACGGCCAAGGGTCTCGTGGATGGTAGAGAGGGAGGGACATGAGCTGGACAGTGATGGGCCAAAGGACCAAAACGTGGCTCAAATCCAAGGCGAGGCCACGGGGAAGCCTGAGGGATTCAGAGGAGAGGGGGGCCTGACGTCCCGCTTTCCTGTCTTTTAGGAAGAGACGCCCTTGTTCCTGGCGGCCAAAGAAGGCAGCTACGAAACGGCCAAAGTCCTGCTGGACAGCTTTGCCAACCGCGACATCACCGATCACATGGACCGCCTGCCCCGGGACATCGCCCAGGAGCGCTTGCACCACGACATCGTCCGCCTCCTGGATGAGTACAACCTGGTGCGGAGCCCCCCCATGCACAACGGTGGGCCTCTGGGGGGCCCCACCCTCTCTCCGCCCCTCTGCTCGCCGAGCGGCTACCTGGGCAACCTGAAGCCGGGCCTACAGGGCAAGAAGGCCCGGAAGCCAAGCACCAAAGCGCTGAGCTGCAACGGGAAGGAGCCGAAGGGCCTCAAGGCCCCCCGGAAGAAGTCGCAGGAGGCCAAGGCCTGCCTGCTGGATGGCTCCGGCGTCCTCTCCCCGGTCAACTCCCTGGAGTCTCCACATGGCTACCTGTCGGATGTGGCCTCCCCGCCTCTGATGACCTCCCCCTTCCAGGCCTCCCCTGCCATGTCCCTCAACCACCTGCCCGGAATGCCGGACGGCCACCTCAGCATCAGCCAACTCAACCTGGTCGGCAAGGCAGATCTGGGCCCGATGCAGCCCTTTGAGCAGCCGGGGGCCCCTCCTCGCCTCTCCCACCTACCCGTCTCCAGCGCCAGCGCCCTCCTGGGCAGGGCCTCGCTCAACTTCGCCGTCGGCGGGAGCCAGTGTGAGTGGCTGAACCGCCTGCAGAACAGCCTGGTGCCCGGGCAATACAACCCGATGAGGAGCGCCCTCCCGCAGGGCACACACCCCGCCAGCCAGGCCCTGCCCCATGGGCTGCTGGCGTCCCTGCACAACAACCTCCCCGGCACAAATCTGGCCCCCATGATGGCCTACCAAGCGGTCCCCGGGGGCCTCCTGCCCGCCCACTCCCAGCCACACCTGCTGCAACCCCAGCAGGCGCAGCAGCAGCAGCCGCCGCAGCCCCCTCCGCAGGGCCACGGCGGGGCCACGAACTCTGCCCCCCAAGTGGGTTCCACCTTCCTGGGGAACGAGCTGAGCCAGGCGGAGCTGCAGCCAGCAATGAACAGCGGTGCGTTGGCGGTCCACGCCATCCTGCCCCAGGACACCCAGGTGCTGGCGACCTCCCTGCCCCCCGGCCTGTCCCAGGCTCTGGCCACACCCCAGTTCCTGACTCCGCCTTCCCAGCACAGCTACCCCTCCCCCATGGACCACACACCCAGCCACCCACTCCAGGGGCCCGACCACCCCTTCCTCACGCCCTCGCCGGAGTCGCCGGACCAGTGGTCAAGCTCCTCCCCCCACTCCAATCTCTCAGATTGGTCGGAAGGCATCTCGAGCCCGCCCACCAGCGTGCAGCCTCAGGTGGGGCGCATCCCGGAAGCTTTCAAGTAAAGGGGGGAGCTGGTTGCACCTGAGCTGCCCTATGAGATGGACAGACCCCCCTTCCTTCCCTCCCTTGGCTGAAGTGGAGAAATCCCTTTTTTCTTCCTCCTTTTTTTTTAAAAAAAAAATATTTTTGCATACATTGTAAGTTGGAAACTTCACCGCGTTCTTCCTCTTCTTGTAGTATTTATTTATGTACTTTTATGTGAAAACACTGCCGCTTTATTTATATGTTGTGTTAAGAATTCCATGGGCTGCATTTACTATTCTAAGAAATAGAAGGATCTATTAACGGGGACTTTTTGAAATTGACATCTTTTTTTAAAAAACCAAACATTTGTATCGTGCTTTTTACTTTTTGGCCTGGAGAAAGATTTCTTCTGTAAAGCTACAATCAAAGATCCATAATTGTCAAACGACACGTATTTATTGATCAGGATATTTTTTTTTTCCTGTTCATTTTTAAAACAGAATTTTTAAAAAGGGGAGGGGCAATTTTGTTTTTGTTTTTTTAAAAAATGTACCTATATGAGGAAAAAAATAATTTAAATATAAGTTGATGGTTTATTTTTTAAAGAGCGCTTTAAAATATTCCCTGGGTGTTGATGATATAGACATATAGGCGTGTCGGCTTTCTACATCTGGATGCTTCTAGGTGTCCTAGATTCCCTCCAAAAATTGTTAGCCATCGTGGCAGGTGGGAATTCTGGGAAAGAGTATCCGATACCCCCTTGGGCTGCCCATGCATGTGAGAGATTGACAGAGGGCAGACTTCTTCAACCTTGGCAACTTGAAGGGGTGTCAACCAATTCAAACTGAATTCCACCCATCTTAAAGCATGTGGCTGGGGTGAAAGTCCAAGGCGGAGAAGAACTGATATATATATATGGATCGTGAACCTTTTTTTATTAAAATTTCAGTATTACATAGTTTCATCCATCTCTTTTGCATGAAAGCGGAACGTTTTCCTTTATTTATTTTAAATAACTGCCTGCGATCAAAAACCAGGATTTGAGATTTGAAGCTACAAATGGATTTCCAGAAATGCTTCTCTCCTCTCTCTCTCTCTCTCACCCAACAAATGTGCCCTTCTTGTTGCAGATGTTTAAAAAGGAAGGGAAGCCTGCAAAGATTGAGCGTAGAATAAGAAAGCCACGCCTTGCGTTTTTTTTTTTTTTTTAAACAACAAGGCGGTTGTGATCCTAACTCGATCCTGGGCACTGTGCCTAAGAACAGTCTTGAAGGAAGGACAAAGTTAACAAGAAGAGATGTTGAGATAGCTCTGAAGAAAGGGTGAAGGTCTGTTGGAAAACCCAGTTTGTCATCTCCATGGGACTCCTGCACAGGAGCTGTTGGCCTAGAACCCGTCAAGAGATGGAGATGGCATTTCATAGGAAGGCAGGATTGGGAATCTCTTTCCAGTGCTTGCCTTCTATGTGGCAGTGGGTGATGGTAGACCCAGAGGTTAGGGAAAGCCCCCAGGTTGGGAAAACTAATGGAGGTTGGGAATGAGAAATGGGGGGCGGGTTTCCATGCATTTAAAAGTCTTCGGAGGTTCTCTGTCATCCTCCTGGTCATGGCTGTCCCAAGGGTGCATTTTTTTTTCCCTTTTCCAAAAGGTAACTGGTCTTTGAAGACATTTCACTTCTCATCCAAGAACCTTCTTCAGTTCTGCTTCATTGGGCAGAAACGTTAGTATGAATGGATAGGTTGGCACCGAAGGAGCTTCTTGGGTGAGAAGGCAAAATGTCTTCAAGGAGAAACAAAGTCTAATTGCCTTTAATAAAAATAAATCAACTTTGGGACATGGATTTAAAGGGTTCTGCCCTTCTAGGGACAGGCACTATAGAGGGAAAATGATCTTCATTGATCAAAGTCCAACTTCTTCTGCCAGTCTCCTGGCCTCCAAAGCGCATTCATGAGCCAGGTCAGTGTCTTGAAGCTGTGGGCATTGTGGATTAAAGACTGTCTTTAATCTGTGTTGCATCTCTCCACGCAGCTGGAGAAGACTGGGCACCGCTTCAAATTTGGGGTTTCCAGAAGGGCAAACTGGGGGGGGGGGGTCCCACCACTTGACCACTGTTCGATAGCATCAACTTCTACCCAATTCCAGAAAGCCAAAATCCCTGCATTTGATTGCAGGAACCCACCTAATTCTCACGACAGAATTGCCATCGGAAAGCAGGGGTGGGGCGGGGGATCCGTTTTTGTCCTTTGGCGGAAAGAACCGCCTGCTTTTTCGGATTGGCACCTCTGGGTTTGCGATGGTTGTATTATTCTCTTTTAGAGAACGGCGCCAGCCTAGCAGGCGGAACAGCTGAATTTGTATACAAATATATATATATATACAGTATGCGCCTATGGCAAAGCTAATGTTTTGTAAATATACGGAGTCTTTTTTTTTATATATGCATAAAACGATATGGGTGGATTTTGTTTAAAAAATCTAAATGATTAAACTGAAAGAAAGCATTGCACTGGTGGAGGTTGTTGAAAATATTGCTCAAGGGAAGAATAAAACCAGCTCAGCTGGTGAGGTTGCAAACCTGTGCTACGTCCTTTGGAGTAAATGCGACATGAACGCCTTTGATCTAGTCATTAGTTGATTAACCATTCAAAATTAGACGGAAAACAGGGACCCACGGCCTCACACTTAGTGAAAATCCCAGGGGCTCTGTGAGCATAATTCAGGCACTTTGCAACCAGCCCATGTGGATGGATGGTTGCAGTGTCCTGAGGTCACAAGATGGATTTACTTAATGACCACAGTGATTCACTGAATGATGGCAAAAAAAAAAAAAAACACCCGGTAAAACTGGAGATAATTCGGTGAGCACATCGCTTAGGAATGGACGCTATTCCGGTCCCAATTATAGTTGTAAGTCGAGAATTGCTTTCCAAGGAACATCTCCTGAGATTTGCCCAGGTAGGACTGATCTGTAGCTGCACTGGCATCTTAGGGCAAGATGGTACATGTTTTCATGAACTGTAACCCTGGGGAAGATGTTCAGATGTTGAGCACACTGGCATCCTCTCTTGTGGGAATCTGATCATTTTCCAAGCTTCTTTTTTTGCTCTGGAGACCCTCTTCCACCCTTAGGATAAAGGAAAGTGCTGGGACGTCTCCACAACAAGTGATTGTTAACACCCACTTCTTGGTGTCAAATCTTTTTATGTTTTTTATAAAATAGACTGTAGTTTATAAGTCAAGAGATGTGGGAGATTAAAACAAGCAAACCTGTAATTAAAAAAAAAAGAACCATGCAAAATTGTAATTTGCAAAAAATGATGCCTTTTATTTTATTTTGTTACACAATTTGCAATAAACTATGTCAGTAGGCATTTAACGTTGGCTGTGGTTTTACTTTTCTTTCAGATTAGATAATTTAATTCACGGAAGGAAATGTGTGGCATCTTTTCCGACATGGAAATCCTTAAAAGCAGCCATCTTTTAATGACCGCATAATCCCATGTGGGGTGGCGTCTGGGCAACTGAATGGAGCAGAGTGTTTACTGGCCAGATGCCCTTCCTGTCACCAATGTGGAGTTATAGTCAGCAGATAAATTCTCATTGTGCCCAGAGAGAGGAATATCTGCCTCTACCTAGAACTGAACTCATAGCCTAATTGTGATGCGAGAGCTCCACCTCTAGGACACTGCACCACTCAAATCCTTAAAAGCATTTTTACATTCTTATTTCAGCGAGATAAAAAATTATTCCTCTATGTTGATTGTAAGAGATATTCCTCAGAGCTCATTAAGGAAATACCTTTAATCAGGTTGACCAAAGTTCTACCAAGGTACTAGGCCTTTCTAGTTTCCAGAAAACTTAATCATGGAGGTTAATCATGGAGAAGAAACAGCTTGGAAAATGAAACTGATCTTGAAATCATCAGGTCACTCCACACCAGCTTATCTGTAAAACAGAGCGGTGACTTCAGCACTTCTGACATGCACACTGGAACTTATCTGGCCCAAGTGTGTCAGGCTGCAAATGTAAATTTTGCTGGGAAAAATCACAAGTAAATTTAACCCTATCCTATTATGGAAAATTTCCCAGCTATTACAAACCAGTGATTTTCACCCAATGGACAATTGGATCTTTTGACCCTGGAAAACAAAAGAGAAATTGATCCACGTTTACATAAGCTGACCAACTTTTCTACAGTGAAAAGGAGGACGCAAATAAATTGAAGAAAAAAAACAAAGCCACTTGCGCGTGGTGCATTCTTGCACACAGTACCCTCTCTCAAAACAATACTCCTGTGTGGAGCACATGCGCCTCATAATCATGTCTTGCCGCACTGTACCGAGCCTTGATGAATCGACATGCCAAATACAAATACATCACATCACATCACACACAACGGATCGGATTCGATTAAATACAGAGATTTGCAGATTAGTCTTCAAATATCAAAAAGGAAGACATGGAGGAGGGCGCTTTTCAAGGGAGGAAAGAACTTACAAAGGGAGGACAGTCCTCCCTAAAGGAGGACAGTTGGTCACCTTAGTTTACACTAGTAAAAAATCAACACCTGGTACTTTTACAGATACAACCATGTCATTTCTTTTTTACAATACAAAATAGTGTGCCACAGCCGCCTTTATTACTTTTCCAGTCCAGCCTGATATTCTGAGATTTTCAAAGCTTTATAAGTAGTAAATGTTAAGATTTGAACAAAAAAGTTTCCCCTCCTCTCGGACAACCAGGACATGGATGACTGAGAATCTCTACAGACACTAAACGAACTGTTGTAAAATTCAGGACTTCCTATTTAGGGTCTCCACCTTGCACAGGCGTCCCCAACCTTGGCCAAGTAACGTTTTATTTTTAGATAAGCAAGGCAGTACAAGGTAAAACAGTTCGCCATACAGTACTGCACGACACATTCTTTGGCCAAAGCAAAAAAGTCTGGGTGGATACTATGTCCAAAACAGGCAAAATGCATGTGATAGCCACACTCTGCGAGAGTGGCTCAGAGTATTATACACACTTTACACTCATAAAAACTCAGTTTGTCCAATCAGAGACAAAAAGTTCGCTATTAATGTGGGCAACGCCTCCCCGTCCTTATCCATGGAGCGTTCTTTGTCCGTGCTCTGTCCATACTTCGTTATTTTACACAGTACGCCTCGTCCTTGCGTGTTTGTGCTCCTGTGGACCAGGATGTCCCTGGGAATTGTCTCCAAGGTTGTGTCCCCAGCTCTCAAGCCAATTGCAGAGGCGAGAACGCAGGTAGAAAAGGATCCAATTCTCTTACAGAACGAATTCCTAACAAACGATTCCCATATTTAGCAAAATAGGACACGCAACTTCTTTAACAAATGCAAAGAGCAAAGGTTAGATGGATTCGCGTCAACCTGTCCTTTCACGGCTACCTTCTCCAGCCGCTTCTGCTGCAGAAGTGGGATGGAAGTGGAGAAGCCTGGAATCCCCCCCCCAGGCCGCCATCTTTGCTGGTTGGGGGATTCTGGGAGTTGAAGTCCGCCAGGGCTGGAGACCTCTGCACCAGAAGGCCTCCAAGGTGCCTTCCAAATATTTCTGCCGTTCCGTCACCCTGCTCAGAGGCAAGCCAGGCAAAAGCGCCCGGTGTCCTATTTCGCCTCTTTCCGCCTCCAGCTGCCAGGGCGACAGGTTGCAATCGCCCAGGAACGAAAATGCTCCGGGGCTTTTTTTTCCTCCCCCCGCCCCCACCAGAGCAGGAAAACGTGGACACATTCGGGACACTTCCGGTCTCCCTGTGAAAGTCGCCTAGACGAGCTAGTTAGTTAGAGGAACCGCTCTAGTCACAGAAGCTCTTTGGCCACGTTTCTTTGGCTGGATCTGGAAGCAGCTGTTGAGGCATTTAAATAACAAATTAAAAAAAAAAGGTTTGACATGTCTCCTTAGAGATAGGAATTAAAGAGAAACACAATCCACATAAACTTGCAAGTCCACTCTCTTATACTCCTCCGGGGGGGGCGTGACTTCAGGAATGAACGGCCACGTGACGTGCGTTTAAAGCCAACTCACGAGGAAAAAGCGGCCGTCGCACGTCGACTTACGTCCGTGCGTTGCTGCCTCCTGGTGTCCGATCTCATGTTGGCCACGCCTGGATTCGGTGAGGAGTGGGTGAGACGACTCTTATTTCGTAGCTCTAGGTGCCCCTTCCCGCGTTAGGGCAGGGCTGGGCCAGGCCGTGCGTGGTGACGTCACGCGCACGGGGCGAAACGTGACACGTCAGCGCTGCCGCTGGAGCCGGATGTTGCAAGATGGCGGCGGTGGCGGCTGGGCTCGCTGGTGCTGTGGCGAAGGAAGGAACCGGCGCCGGCACTTGCTGAGGGAGACCCCCGCCAGGTGACTTTTCGGGGTGAAGGAGGATCGGGGAGCCCTGGTCCCGGCTGCAGAGGGCGGGGGCTTGATGAGGAGGGCAGGAGGGTAAGGGGAGGAAGCCTCCCGCTTCAGGAGAAGTCTACCTCATTGGCCATCGTGGATAGTTCCTGGCTCTTCCCTGAGCGGGGAGGATAGCCGGGCAAGAGGGACGAGGCAGAGGCGCCCACAGGCTCGATCTGCCACCCCCCCCCCCCCCCCCCCCCCCCCCGGCTTTGAGAACCCCCCACCCTCCCCTCCCGGGTCCCTGAAGGAGAGAGAGTCGATCCTCGCTTCCCTGGCACGGGGGTCCTCGACTTACGACCACCCCGCCAACGGGACCCCCCAAATCTGCTTGGTTTAAAGGGAGACGTTTGTTCAAGTGGGGTTTGCCCCATTTGCTACTTTTCTCGCCCCCTCCCCCCCCTTCTTAAAGTGAATCGCTGCGGTGGTCCGGTTAGTAACACTCGTCGTTAAGCGAATTGGGCTTCCCCAAGCCACACTTGGCTTGTCGGGAGGTCGCCGAAGGGGATGGCATGACTCCTCAGGGGACGCTGCGGCCGTTACATGTCGAGCATCCTGCAAAACGGGACCACGGGGATACGGCAATGGTCCTTAAGTGTGGAAAGCGGTCATAAGCCCCTTTTTCCCCCATGCTGTTGCAACTTTGCACTGTTACTGAACTGTTGCAAGTCGAGGACTATTTCGTTTTAAAAGAAAAATTAAACTGGGCATTTGGAGGGGGTGGGGTAGTCCAAATTGAGGCCTTTGGACCCAGGAAGCAGAAGGAGAATTCGCACAGAGACCCCGCAGCAGCTGCCCCTGGGGTGCAAGAAGCGAAAGAGGGTGCCAAGTTGGCTGCCCCCCCCATGAGTGAAGCCCCCCCTCCCCCCAAGGAAGGGTAGTTGCTGGGGGAAGGGGTGCAGAGCCACAGACAGCACGGACTGTAGTAATAATGCACAGCCTCCGAAACTGCATGTATGCGACAGGTGACGTGTCAGGTACTGGAATACAGGTAGTCCTCGACTTACAACGGCATTTAGTGACCGTTCAGAGTTTATGACTGCACTGGAAAAAAGGACTTGGCACCAGTTTTTCACAGTGGCAATCTTTGCAGCCTCCCCTTCAACATCCAGATGCTTGGCAGCTGCTTCATACTTGTGACAGTTGCTGTGTCCCCAAAATCATGCAGTCCCCAGATTCAGTGAGGAAGCCAGATTCACTGAATGACCGGGTTGCTAACTTATCACCTGCAGGGATTCACGTAACAACGGTGGGAAGAAAGCTGGTAAAATAGGGGGGAAGTCACTCAACTAATGTCTCACCTCCATTGTCATAAGTTGAGGACTCCCTGTAAATGCTTGTTTCCTGCAAAAAATGTCATAAATCGTGGTGCTGTAAGCACAGGACAAACAGCGCACAGCTGTAAATGTCCAATTGCCGAGCGCCCAAAATAAAGTGACGTGGTCACAAGGAAGGCAGATGTTGGAAGTTCAGGTGTGGGTCCTCACTTGACAGATATTTTGGACTCAACTGTGATCGTAAGTCCAGGACTGCCTGGATCTGGGTTTTAGCCTTGGCAGCCTGGCCTACATTAAAACATGATGTGACTTTTTTCCTGTCTCCGTGCACCCACATGCCAGGCAGCTGGCAAAGTGGAGCAATCGTGTCATTCTAATGCAGGGTAATATGCATGGAGGGTTGTCCATTTCTGAACCCATTTCTGTGGACTTAGACCATGTAAAAATAAGGGTCACTCCGAGGGGAATAAGGCCATAAGAGGACCTGAGGTACTACAAACCCTTTGAGAAGTTTTGGGAATATATATATCAACCACATTTGGAAGGCTTACGCAATACTTGTGGTGAAACGCACTTGTGGATTCTGAAATATCAGGAAGGTCGAGTAGAGCATGTTTCTTCTCGGCCTTCCCTTGCTCAGGCTGATGTTCTCCACAATCAGATGATTCGTTTTTTCAGTAATTAGATTTCCTTGGTGAGTGGAGGTGCGTTTTATGGTCACTTTAGAGTTTGAATTGATGGTCTTGCTAGAGACATAAGCCACATTCAGTTGGTCTTGTTCGGATTGAACAAGCTTGGATGGGTTGCCAGTGTTTTTGGAAACTCACCTTTGCTATCATCGGCGTCTCTAATCACAGCAGAAGTCTGAATCTTTCTTTAAACTGTAAATCCACCTATGATTTCTGTTCTTTTTAGCTACTAGTAATTAAATTACTATTTAATTAAATGGAATATGGAAAGTTCCTTATAAATAACATAACAGTACTTCTCTACTGTCTTGTAAGAGGCTTGTTAGACTTGTTCATGGCACTGAAGGGAGAATAAGACTTTTTAAAAAAAATTTGGAGCATTTACGACCACCAGCAACAAAACCAATTAAACCATAATTTCTAATAGCTTTAATGAAAAAAATTAAGAAATAAGTAGGGAGTTCCTTTTAAAATAAAGTATCTTTCAGATAGCAGAAAATAACATTTGAAAGGTCCCACTTGGTGGAATAAGATACAAATCAGAGGTCCCATAGCCCAAATCTAAGCTGTTTGAATTTGGGGAACATAGCAGTTGCTGTGAGTATCTCTCTCAAATGTTTTCTTTTTTTTGGTGGCAGTTACCGGTTATTTGAAAACAGCTATCCCATTCCATTCGATTTTCTTCCCCAATGAATATACCCATTTTAAACAGTTCTTTGAAGAACTGTCTCTATAGCTTAATACCTTTGTGCTTCTCCTGGCTTGCTTTAAGGAGAGCAGCCAAGATTGCACCCAGCATGTCAGATGAGATTTGTTTAGTGCTGAATAAAGTACATTTGTTACTACAGCGCCTCTGATTTGGAGACCAGAATTTTCTTAATGCAACTACACTAGCTTTAGTGTGATCAGCTATAAGCCCAGGGACTTTCTTACTGCTTCAGGTTATTATTCTTCCTTGGTTGTCTTTAAAGTGAAGACAACTTTGCTATCTTTAATTCATCTCTTCTCATTCCTGCCTCGCTCCAGTTCAAAACTTCATTTTTTGGTAATTATCTGTAAAACAGAATAGTTATTTTCTGTGTCACTTTCACATTGACAACTGTCTTTTACTCTTAAGTCGTACAGGTATTGAGGAAAAAGGATAGGGGCTTCTCTTGAATGCTTTTCCTGTTTTTGAGGAGCCAGTGATAGAATTATGTGACTTAGCAGAATTTTGTACTAAACAGAAAATGTGCTTTAAATGTGATTTCTTGAGTTCTTGTTACAGTGGTGGGATTCACACACCTTGCTGAACCAAGGCATGTGTGAACCTGGTATTCAGTTTTCCAGCCCACTGACGTGCATGTTTTTTGTCCAAAATATCACGGAGGTGGCTTGGGTAGGCACAACAGACTTCTCAGAACAAGAAATTTCAGTTAAATATTAACAAAATCTGGGAGTATTTTCTTTTGCTTTGCACTAGGGTGTCCGACCCCTGTAAAAGGCCGAACGCAGAGCCAGGAAGACTAAATGAGTTCATAGCTCAGATATTGTCCCTTAAGGACGAGCCAGCCCTTTGCTCACACCCCACCATTTGGGAGGCGAAATCCTGAAAGACACCCCGAGGAAGGCTGAACCCGACTCCTGGTTCCGATGAATTGCCCACCGAAATGTTTGCTTCCCAGATCCCGTGATGTTCTTGTAGTTAACAGTGATTTGAAAGCAAATGACAAACAGTGACAGATGCAAATCCATGTCATGGGTGGAAACGTGTCCCTTGTCTCTGGAGATTTGCCAGGAGGCTGTCAAAGGTTTTTGGGTACCGTTGACCTACTCTACCAAATGTATTGGGAAGAAATAACAGGCTGCCTATCAGTCAGAGGGCAAGAGATGGGTGTCATTCAAAACCACAGAGGAGGCTTTTGGGAGCGTGCTTTTCTTTCTAGCCCTGCCCACTCCTGATCTCCCCCCCCCCCCAATAGCTGATGGAGTTGGAGGGAAGAATCAGGCCTGCAACCCACTACTAGAAATGAAAGTATTGTTCCCTTGATCCAAAGGCAAGCCTTTATCAAAGAACATAAATTATAGACCAATAAGGAAGCAGCTAAGCTTATTCAGGTGCCAGAATCCCTACCAGGCCTAGAATTTTCAAGATTTAAGAAAATCAAAATAGAAGCCTTGCTTGCACCACGCAGTCCTAGCTCCATCCATAATCCCTGGTGTTGTTTCATGGACTGAAAAGAGGCGGTATTGTGTGGAAGAAGACGAAGAAGAAGGCAGGCCTCCAATGGAGCCCCAAGAAGCGGCTATGAATGGAGAGATTCCTGCAAGCCAGCCAACATAGTTAGCATATTCAAATTGGGCTTTATAAACATTTCACATTTTTAATCCCCCCCCCCCCCCCCCCCCCCCCCCAAAGATGCTTTATTTCATCTCCAGTAATCCATATTCTTTATGGGGTAGCAAGTGTAGCCCTTGACTTGCGATGTCAATCGGGACCAGAAGTTCCATCGTTAAGGGACGCGATCGTAAATTACGACCGCATCCCTTAATGACTACCATCTCGGCAATCCCGGTTGCCACCATTAGCTGAATTTCATAGTCCTTAGGTGAGGGAACGTCCTGCCAGCTGACCAAAACCAAAGTTATTGAAGAGTCTTATCCCAGACTGGCAGGTGGGTGAGTGGCTGCTGCTAGGCGGGGAAGGGCGCAAGAGGGGTCACCCAAGAGGCACCAGGCAGGTCGGGGCTGGGGATGTGGAGAGCCGCACAGGAGCGTGAGAGGCGTAGTGGGGCTGAAGGAGAAGGCATGTCCTACCCCAGAGGCTTGCAACCTTCCCTGCCTGCTGCCCCACTGACTTTCTGGGGAAGCCGCCAGGGGAGCTTGCAAAGTGCCCATCGGCCAGTGGTAGAGATGCTGGAACAGCCGGAGCTCCAAGGCTCAGTTGTAACTGCTGGTGACCTCCTACTGCTGCACCCTAGAGGGTATCTTAGCTCCAAAGGGTTCATATCATTGCCTAGGGCAGGGGTGTCCAACCTTTCACCTTCCCTGGGCCACATTAGAAGATGAAAATTTGGTTTGGGCCGCACATAAAATAAAATAACAGTAATGATACCTGATCATCCAAAAAAACCATAGAAAACATAGTTAACATATTAAATTTATTTGGAAATGAAGTTAGTGAGATGTTTTTATTATTAATTATTTATTAAAAATTATTTATTTTTTATCACGGTTTTTTTATCATGGTTTATTTTCCGGCCAAATTTTGCGGGGGGGGGGGGAGAAAACTCGCCCGCCTTGCGCCTACCTCTCCTGCTGCAAATGGCCCAGCTGGATGAGGCAGGACTGGAAGGCAGCAGCAGCAGCAGCGGCGGGGGCAGTGGTGGCGGGGGCAGAAGCGGCAGCGATGGCAGGGGCAGAAGTGGCAGTGGGGGCAGAAGCGGCGGGGGCAGAAGCGGTGGCGATGGCGGTGGTGGCAACAGCAGGAGGTGGCGCTCTGACGGCGCCTGCTTTTTCTGTTGCTGCTTGGCCTGGCGCTCGCCTCGCCCTGCCTCGCGCCAGCTTCTCCTCCTCCTCCTCACTGGCTCTGGCATGAAGGTTAGGGTGGGCACTGGGCTGCATTACAAGGTGACCTGGGCCGCATGCGGCCCTTGGGCCGCAGGTTGGACAAGCCTGGCCTAGGGGATCATGGGTTGCCCCCTCCCCTCTTTGGAAGAGCTTTAGAGCTCCTGCTGCCTTAAGAAAGTTCAGAACATCCTCAAAGATCCATCTCATCCTGGGCACCCTTTTTTTGAACGATGACCATCTGGCAGACGGTACAGAATAGTAATAAAAACAAGGACAAATAGGCTGAAAAACAGCTTCTATCCCAGAGCAGTAACTCCATTAAATTCTACTGTAGAGTACACCGAAGATGGTATTTAATTTCATTGTACAACGTGCAGTGACAACAAAGTCAACGAAACCACAGCTTGTCCAGTGCTATCGTAACTTCAGAGGTGGGCTGAGGAAGCGGGAATATATCGAGGATTTTGCCACTGATTTTGCCCTTTTCTGTCTTCTTCGTTCCAGCTTGGGCCCATGAAGGCAAGCCCGCCCCTCTTCGTCTGCTGCTCCTCTTCAGGTGGCAAGTGACTTGGCTCCACTTCGATCATGCAGCCCCCTCCTCAGGCAGCTCCGCCGGGGGTCGGAGGCCCCCCTCCTCTTGCTCCCTCGTGGAACATGCATTGGCGAAATGGCCCCTACGGTAGGCGCCCAAACGCCCCCGCCGGGGTGGCGGCGGCGGCGGCAGCTGGGCCTGTGCAACCAGTGACAGACCCCTTTGCCTTTGGCAAACAAGGCCCCCGGAGCTCCCCGCTGAGCAACGCGCCCCACGGAGACCCGGGCTCTTCTTCACTGGCTTTCCCTCCGTCATCCGCTGTTCCTCTTCACCCCTCTTCTGGGCACCTTCCTCAGGCACCCGCTCCATCGTTAACGTCGGTCTCAGCGCCTCACTCGGAAGCTGGGGGCTCCTTTTCCATTTCCACGCCCTCCGCGTCAGCCTTTCCCAAAGGGGTGCCCAACAGCACCGAAGTGCATCCAAGCCCAGAACACGCCCTGCGCCCCACCCTGGAGCCGCCTCAGCCCACGAGAATCGGCCCCGAACATTCTCTCTTGGCTTCCGTCCCAGACAGGCTGCCGGGCAGGCCCGACGTGAGCAGGAATCCAGGCAACCCCGGTGCGGCCCCGCCACCATTGCCCGCCTTCTCCCTCCTCCAGCAGACGGTGCCTCAGTGGATGCCTCCCCAGAGCTCTGCTTACTTGCCTTCCCCAGAGCGCCTGTCCCGGAATGCCTTTGGGGGTGCTGCCCAGGCCAGCCTCTCTGTTTCCCAGCCGGGCCCCCAGCTGGATCCCCACCCGACTCCCCCTCACCCGCCTGGGCTCCCCGGTGCCCCCCAGGCGCCCTTCATGCTTGCTGAGGCCTCCAATGTGACTCTGCCCCCCAGTAGCACTTGGCAGAGCCCCACAGGCACCGGTGCCTGGACCGGCCAGCTCCCGCAAGAACACTTCTACTTGCAGCCCCTGGAAGCCACGCATCCCTCGGGCCAGCCCACTTCTCAGGAAAACAGCCCCCCTGGCCCCGCCCAAGGGGTGACCGAAGCAGGTAGCAGGCCGTGCCTGGACGACGCAGATGCCGGGACCATTTCGATGTTTTTCAAGGGGGACGAGGCCGAAAACGAGGAAATCCTCTCATCCGAAGCCAACAGCCACGCTGCTGCCAGACCGGACGTGGATGCTTTCCAGCAGACCATGGGACACACCTATTACCAGCCTTTGCACGGCCCCCAAGGGCCGCCGGCTCATTTTGCGCCCGCCCAGGCTAGCGCGGCACTGGCGGCCGAGGCGACGCCCAAAGACGGGGACGCCCAGCGCTTCCTTCGGACGGCGGTTGTCGCGGGAGAGGAGCAAGCCAGCCTTGTCTCACGAGCAGGGGGGAGCTGCTCTGCCAGCGGGCTGTATGAAAACGTGGAAAACCAGGAGTGTGTCCAGAACCAGGAGGTTCTGCCCAGGGAGCCCCCTTCGCAGCATCCTTCGTCCCCAGGGGCGGCCTCGGATTCCGGCCGCTACGCCTCTCTGGCTCCACTGCTGCCCAAGAACCACGGCGGGAGCCATGCGGAAGGAGGAGCCAACCTGGAGGCCCCCAGCGCGTTCCCACGGCCCGTCCGGCCCGACAGCGTCTCTTCCAACTACAGCAACTTGAGCCCCAGGGTCGCGCCCGGCCCTGCCCGCCCGCAAGAGCCCGGCACCTTCATCCAGCAGGAAAGAGGGAAGCCCGAACAGGAGGCTTCCCGCGGCTTTTTTAAGCAGATCGACTCCTCTCCACTCGGAACAGACGCGGCGCAGCAGGAGCCCGGCAAGAATTACCACAGCCCCCCCTCCCAGGCGCCCACGCCTAGCCCCCCCAAGCCCACGGGCGTCTTCCAGACCAGCATCAACAGCTCCTTTGAGCCGGTCAGGGCCCACAGCCTGGGGGTGAAGCCTGCGGAGACCGACCAGGCCAAGGTGGTGGCCGAGCTGAGGGAGGATCGGCCCAGCCAAAGGAGTAGCCAGAGGAGCTCGACGGTTGCAGTGGCCTCCCCGGGGAACCTGGAGCAACCTCCCGACAACCTGGAAACCCTCTTCCTGGCCCCAGCCCATGCCTTGCCCCTCTCCCTTGCGGGCAGCGGCAGTGGAAGCCCCCGTCAGCCGGCCGGTGGGGCAGGGATGGAGAAGAGACCAACCACCAGAGCTCAGGGCCTGGGGAAGAAGTGCGAGAGCCCGGCCACCACCCTCTGGGCGCACAACGAGCTGCCCAGTTTTGGGGGCAACGTGCTCCTTGCCCCGGCTGCCCCTGCGGTCTACGTCCCGGCCAAGCAGGTGGTTCAGCCCCCGGAGGAGGCCCTGCCGAGCAAGCCGGGGCCCCAAGCCGGAAGCCTCCCGTCCGAAAACCTGGAAAACCCTCCCAAGCTGGGGGACGAAGAGGCCGCGGGCTCTCAGAGGAGCCTGGGTTATGCCAGCCTCCTTTCCTCCCCGCTGACGGAAATGCTTCAGAACCAGCCGGTCTTGCTGGCCCAGCCGAGTCAGTTCGGCAGCTTGGCTGCCCCCGCCGGTCCCTCGCTTGCCCTTCAGCTGGGCCAGCCCGAGAAGAGCCCCTCGGCCAAGGACCTGGGCGCCAGTGGGATGCCTCTGCTGGAGAGGAACAGGAGCTACAGCCTGTCGGGGGAAAACCCGCCTGGGGGCTTAGTCCACTCCAACCCCCCTTTCTTCCACGGCCCGCTTAGCTCAGCCGAAACTGCTGCCCCCAAGTCCCTGGTTCAGTCTGGCTCTCAAGGGCCCCTCAACTTGGCTATGGAAGCCCCCCAGCCCCCTGCTGCAGAAGGGCTGCCTGTGGAAAGCGCTGGCCAACCCACGGCTGGCGTTTCCCTCTCCCACGCCAGCCATAACCTTCCTGGCTGGTCCCAGAACGCTCCCCATGGCCAGGAGCTTTCCAAACCCCTGGATTTGGCCGGGGCGAAGTCCCAGGAGCTCAGCAGGGCAGGGCTTGGCCAGCTCCTTTCGGGCAGCCCGGCGTTTCCTCCGGCCCCCGGCCCGGCTGGCCCCGGCAACCCCCAGCCTCGAGGCCCGCAGCAGTTCTATCGGCAGGTAACCAAGGACGTGGGGCCCGCCATGCCCTCCGATCGAGGGGCGCCCTCGGAGCAAGGCCATGCAGCTCCTCGGCATTCTTCCGTTTCCCCCAACCTCCAGATGCCTCCGGGAAACCCGCATGACCCGGCACCGAGTCCGAAGCCTTGCCCCGGCGGCCCCTCGGAAGTCAGTTCAGCCCCGCCACCGCCCAGCCATCCTCAGACAGGCACCGACTTCCGGCAGGATCCCCGCATCCCCCCTGGCATGGGGCCTCCTCCTCCTCCTCCTCCTCCTGGATCCACAGCCCCAAGCGGCCCCCAACCTGCTCGTCCCCCTTCGCACCACGAGCAGCAATACCCTTCTTCGCAGAACCCCCAGAACGCTTACGGCCCACCTCCCAGCTCCTACTACTACTACCGGCACCCCTACGACAGCTACTCCTACCCACCGGTGGATCCTAGAGTCGCTCAGCTTTACTACCAGGTAAGAGTGAAACGGGCTCTGTTTAGCCACCCTCAGGAGGATTCTCGGGGCTGGGGCCGGGGGGGGGGGAGATCCTGGCTGGGGTGGGCTGAGGCTTAAGACCAGTGGTGGGATTCAGAATTTCTTACTACCAGCTCTGTGGGCGTGGCTTGGTGGGTGTGGCTTGATGGGCGTGGCAGGGGAAGGATATACTGCAAAATCCCCATTCCCTCCCCACCCCACTAACCTGCTTTCCAGCTCCGTTCTCCTGGGCAGGGCAACCAAAGGAGACCCAGCCGATCAGCTGGGACTCGATGGGAGGCAGAGAAGAGACGGGGTTGGCGGGGCCAGTTAGAAACGGGATTGGCTGGTTTTCCAAACTACTCAACATTTCTGCTGCCGGTTCTCCAGAACCGGTCAGAATTGGCTGAATACCCACCTCTGCTTAAGCCAGGGGTCTTCAAACTTGACGGCTTTAAGACTTGTGGACTTCAACTCCCAGAATTCCTCCTCCAGTCATGTTAGCTCAGGAATTCTGGGAGTTGAAGTCCACAAGTCTTGAAGCCGTCAAGTTTGAAGACCCCTGGCTTAAAGACATTCTGCACGCATTCACGTTCGGGGGGGATTTCTTCAGTGAAAACTCTTCCCAGCCGGAGCAATTGCAGAGGGCGTTTTTCAGGCTGGGGAGGGGGCTGTTTCTGCTGAAGGCCAGAATGATTGGCCAGAGAGGAGGAGGAGGAGGGGGTTCTTTGCTTCCAAGGCTGCCTCCAGAGGGGATAGGTGGTGGCAATCCCCCCCCCCCCCCGCCCCCCGAACCTCTCAGAGGCCTTTCGGCTTTTGTATGTTTCAAAGGCCACAAATAGTTACGGGGAAAACCAAAAACAAAAGGAAAGAGAAAAACACATTGAAAAGAATGAGAGCTTCATTTAGATCCGTGATGGCAAACCCATGGCGCGCATCCCACAGGTGGCACGCAGAGGCGTTTGTGCCGGCACGTGAGCTGCAGGCAAACTTACCTCACTGCACATGTGCGCACCTCCCAGCTGATTTTCGGCCCATTTGAATCCTTTTTCGGCCTCCCAGAGGCTTGAGGAAAGCCTCTGCAGCCTTTGCAGGCCGAAAAATAAGCCCGTTTCATCACTTCCTGTATTTCCGGAAATACCCAAAGTGACAAAAACGGGCCTATTTTTCGGCCCGCAAAGGCTGCAGAGGCTTTCCTCAAACCTCTGGGAGGCCGAAAAAGGCCTCAAATGAGCCGAAAATCATCTGGGAGGCGCAGTGCAGATAAGGCTCCGGGGGGGGGGGGGGGGGTGCACGAACATGTGCAGGGTGTATGGGGGTCCCCTGCGTGCATTGCCTTCTGGGTGCTGGCAAGCACGCGCACAATTGTTGGCGCAGGAACCCAAAAAGGTTAGGCACCGCTGGTTTAGGTGGAAGCACAGAAGGTTTGGGTGAGAGAAAGCTCTCGAAAAATTGGAAGAATGGGGAAGCGGATTTCTGGCAAAAGGATCATCGAAACATTCCACGTTTGAAACAGAAGCCCTTGACTTCACAGCCATTTCATTCAAAGTCACAACGGCACTGAAAAAAGGTCAGCGGTCTCTCTTTCTCTCTCTCTCTCTCTGCCCAGCCTACCCTACAGGGCTGTTTTAAGAGAGGAATCTGGGAAGGCCCCTGAATGTGAGATATAAACCACCCACCCACCCATCGTCTTCATCATAGGACTCAGCTCCTTACCTATCCGTTTATTTATTTATTGGCCTTTGGGCAGCCGGGCTGTAATCAGCTCCCGGCCGTTCGATTTCTCACCCGGGATTTTGCTTTTGGGTTCTTTGTTGTGAGGCTTCTCAAGCCGCCTTTGTTAACTTGGAATCTCGCCGGGTGGGAAAAGAGCGTGGCCAAACACTTGGCCGGCCTCTGGCCTTGCGCCTGCGTTAACTGTAACCTTTCCGGTCTCTCGGAGGACCCGTATGGCCAGTACAACTCTTCCTACAAGCAGTATGACCAGTCGGCTGCCTATCGAGACGCGGGGAGCTACTGGTACCCTGAGCCCCAGGAGCGGCCCAGTTCAAGAGCCAGCCACACTTCGGACAGGCCCCAGTCGAGGTAAGCAGACCGCCAGCGCCGACGTCTCGGAAGGCATTTTGGCAAAAGGGAGAAGGAAGGAAGGGCTAATATAAAACGCTTTTCTTCGGCCCATTCTAGAAATTCCTTTTTCGAGGACCGCTCAGTTAATCCCAGACGCTCCTGAAAAAGCCCTTGAAAAAGGAATGTGGCTTTTTTTTTTTCCCTGAAAGCTGGTCCAGTAAAGGACTTTTTTTACTGGCCTTTGAGGTTTTCTTCACATGGGTGCCCGGCTCTCTTTCTCATCACAGACATTTTTGGGTAAAGTTCTGCTTAAACGTCCTCTCTGCAGACCACAGTGTGGCTCAAAATCCTTTTCTCCGCGCAGTTCCCTCCTTCACTGCTGGACTTCCTTGTGAAATTTGATCCTTTCAAAGACAACGAGAAAAGGCCGGCTGCTGAAATAGGCTGGCCTTTTTTCCTCGGTGGCGAAATTTTGGTCACAGGCAGACCTCGACTTACTGCTGTTACTAAACCTGGCAAAAATAAAGTAAATCCATGACCATGGAATGCTGCAAACTGGGGTGGGGGGGGGGGGGGGGGCGGCATCCGGAACTTTGGAACCAGGTTGTACATACCCTTTGGGGATGCCCTTTGTGACTTCAAGTGGTCACAAGGCAACTGGTTAGAAGTCAGGGACTTACCTGTACAGGGTACTTAAAAATTAGTGCTATAAAGCATGAGACCCAGAAATGTATTGATTTATATTTGATTGATTGTCCTTACATCCTAGACTTATGGAGATGCTCAGTTGCCCAGGTCATGGCTGTCTGAAGGGCAAGTAGACTTTTGAAAAGGCAACTAGATTTTCCTTTCTCGTCAGAATCGATCACCTTCCACGTCCGGTTTTGCTCCTGAGGAAGAACTGCAAAAAATAGACAGGACTCACACAAACTTCTTGACCTCTGGGAAGGAAAAAAACAGATTTTGTGTGTGTGAGAGAGAGGGAGGGAGGGAGGGAGGGAGGAGAATGGAAGGCAGGAAGGCAGGGATTGAGAATGAGAGGAAGGAAGGAAGGAAGGAATTGAGAATGAGAGGGAGGCAGGCAGGGAAGGAAGGAAAGAGGCAGGGAAGGAAGGAAGGAAGGAAGGAAGGAAGGAAGGAAGGAAGGAAGGAAGGAAGGAAGGAAGGAAGGAAGGAAGGAAGGAAGGAA